TATTATCCATATGATCTTCAAATCTTCAAGTGTTCTTGTCTTGGATCCTTCCATCTACAACCTTTATCCACGAAGAAAACACCCATAAGGTGAGTTCATACCCCTTATTTTTGAGTTTTCCATATTTTAGGGGGGAATACAAGTAAACTTATATAATAACTCAAGTTGTTATGCATGCTTCTTCTTTAAGTTGTGTAAATGTGTTATATGCATGAAAAGATATTATTACTTAGTTACTTGAACATTTATATGTTGTGTTTAGAAATGTGAAACTATGAAAAACAAGTATAAACATACCATATGTTCTTGAGAAAAAGGGTCACAAAAACAAAACTATAAAAACTATGGATTCTATGAACATAATATGACTTCTCTATACAACTCAAAATATGTTATTTTTGGCATGTGTTATGAAACTAGTTAAAAATATCAAAGATTTGGTTTTATAAAAAGAAAATCTAAAAACCCACCATTTTTATGCAAAAATAGGGGTTTCTAGCAAAAATGGTCATGACTAAGTTATGATACCACTTTTGTGAGACTTGACCTAAAATATGTTATTTTAAACATATAAGGTTAGTTTGGCTTAATAGCCACAAAATGGTAAAAATAAATTTTACAAGGTTTACAACTAAATTTTTACCGGTTAGTGACGTTAAAAAGGTCAAGAACTAGAAAAATGGTTTTAACATACTAAATGTTCCTATACTTGTGTTAGATGTAAATTATATGATATAATCTTTTTAAAACATCTAACATGTAAACTTATATATATATATATATATATATATATATATATATATATATATATATATATATATATATATACGGATATATGTGGACACAACGAAACATTTATAATAAACTATAATAGATATAGTTTATGGGTCATTAACTTTATTTTATCATTTTGGGACAAAACAAATAATTAATTAAAGGTATAATTATTCTACACTATGTATTTACTATGGAAATGTAATATTTCCACTTACAAAAGGGTTTTCATTACACTATACATAAACCTGTTGATATAATTTTGTGAGACATAGTCTTCACCGTACCTACCAGAGTACACACTAAAGTCCCGAATTATAACCAGAATCTCGGTATGAGAGTGTGACACTTGTGTATAGATCTATACGGGACTGACAATCCCGCACCTAAGTTGTTATCTACAGCTAGACCAGCAGGCCTGGGGTGACAAATTGTCTAACATTCCGACACCTGAAGAACGTCGCAGCAGGCCAACTAGTTTTAGAATGGTTGTAATAACTCACATGGGGTATTAACAATACATTTGGTTTACGGGGCTAACATACATTCAAATGGTTTTATATAATAATAAAACTACATGATATTATTTTCCAGTACAACAATACTTACATTTTTGGTCTTAGGGTTTAAGACCTACAACTCATTTTTAAAGAAAATATTAGATTTTCTGAAAGCGTACACTATCATTTTACAAGGAAAAGTTACAGATTGTTCTCCTACAAAACTATTATGAACTCACCAACTTAATTGTTGACACTTTTTCAAAACTGCTTGTATTCTCAGGAAACCAGTAAACAAGTAATCAAAAGGTTTTGAGGATGGGGCGTCACAGCGTCACATTAAGTACTTTTGTCATATTTATTTGGTATTAAAACAAACAATGTTTGGATACAATGTAATCTTCTAAATTATAATTATGATGGTTGCATGGCTTTGGTCACTATTATTCATTATGTTATGATACTATACATGAAGTCATCCATCCCCAGACGTTTCCGCCATCCTGGTTTGGGGGTGTGACAGTTCATCGACTCCTACTCATGAGTCCGCCCCTTCGACTTTTGAGATTGATGACCCACCTCCACCACTCCTTAGGAGGTCCACTCGTCCTATCAAGTCCACCAAGCTTCCAGATTTTGCTTACTCTACATATTCAGGACAATTTGCTTCATTTATAGCGAGCATCCATTATCTGTCTGAACCTGAATCGTATAGAGAAGCTATATTAAATCCTTTTTGGCATAATGTTATGGTTGAGGATCTCACTGCTCTTCATCAGACTCATACATGGGATTTGGTTTCCTTCCCCCTGGGAAACATACGATTGGTTGTCGTTAGGTGTACAAGATAAAAATAAAAGTTGATGGTCTGTTGAGCAGTACAAGGCCAAACTTGTAATAAAGGGTATTCCTAACAATACGGGTTTGACTATAAGGAGACCTTTGCCTCAGTGGCAAAGATGATGACAGTTCCTACTATGATTGCAGTTGCATCCGTTCGATAGTGGAAGATCTTTTAAATGGATGTCAAGAATGCTTTTTTGAATGGTGACTTCCATGAAGAGGTTTATATGTCTCCTCCCCCAGGAATTCGGCACCGGCCGGGTGAGGTTTGTTGGCTTCACAAAGCTTTATATGGTCTCAAGCAAGCACCTCGTGCTTGGTTTGAGAAATTCTCCACAGTAATTACCTCTCTTGGATTTGTGTAGAGTAATCATGATTCAACTTTGTTTGTTAGATGCTCGAGTACAGGACGAATTCTTTTGTCCTTATATGTGGATGACATGATTATTACTGGTGGTGACCATGGTGGTATTGAGTCTTTGAAGCATGATCTAGCTCATCGATTTTCTATGAAGGATTTGGGCTTGTTGCGTTATTTCTTGGGTATTGAGGTAGCTCAGTCTAAGAAATGGTATCTTCTTTCTCAGACTAAATATATATCTGACTTGTTTACACGGGCGGACCTCTTTAACAATCAGACTGTTGATACTCCTCTTGAAACCAATGCATTGTACTCTCCTACTGATGGTGTTCATTTGTTCGATCTGAATCTTTATCACACTGATGTCGGAAGTTTGGTTTATTTCACAGTTACTCGTCCGGATATTGCTCATGTTGTTCATGTTTTCAGTCAGTTTGTTACTGCTCTTATCTCTCTTCATTGGGGAGCTGTACTCTGTATTCTGAGATATCTTCGTGGCACTCAGTTTCAGACCATCTTATTTCCCTCGACGTCTTCTCTTGAGCTACGTGCCTATATTGATGCTGATTGGGATGGCGATCATCATGATCATAAATCTACCACTGGATTTTGTGTATTTCTTGGAGAGACAGGATGTTGTCACTAGATCTTCCACGGAGGTTGAGTATCGTGTTATGGTTGTGACTACATGTGAGATTATCTTGTTACGGAGGCTTCTTGTAGATATGGGGTTCACATTTATTCACCTACTCCCTTGCATTGTGAAAACAAAAGTGCGATACAAATTGCGAAGAATTATGTATTCCATGAGCAGACGAAGCACATTGAGATTGATTGTCACTTCACCCGTCATCACTTACAGCTCGGAACCATATTGCTTTCGTTTGTTTCATCAACCTTGCAACTTGCGGATACTTTTACGAAGGCTCTATCGGCATCTCGGTTTCGTTTCTTGTGTGACAAACTCTCAATGTTTATTGTTGTGACATTGTGAGTTTGAGGAAGGATGTTAGCCTATATGTTGTTAGCTCACATGTTTATGGGCCTTTTAGGCTTTAGCCCATTAGGGTTTCTTAGCTAGTATTTATTCTTCCCTTGCTTCTTTATAGCCTTTACGCTTTCACTGAAAATCTTATAATTTCTCAGTTTCAATAATCATATGGCATTATTATCAAATTTAATTAAGGGGACACCATGACACATTGGTAAGATTGCTTTTTGTTTCGCCCACGTGCGTGCGTGCGATATTTATTCAAAAATATATATAAAGTCGTTGAATATTTGCATGTACTACTTTTTAGGTTGCTTAGCAGTGTCAGATATAAGGGTGGGCAATAGGGACATTTGCACAGGGCTCATATATTCCAGGGGCCCAATTTTTTTTTACGTATATTATGTGTAATTAAAATTCCAAGCCCAAATGCTTAGCTCCAACAGTCCATCAAGCGTGCAGTAGTCCAGATATAGACAAAATTCTGCCGACTTGTCGAGAAAGTCGAGATTTTGTGATTTCCGACTTTCTGTGAGCGTGAGGTCGTGAAACGTGAGAAGGGTAGTCGATCATTCAACATTCAGGGACATCTGATTACTCCACAGCGTGCAGGACATTCAGATTTCGGATTTTTATTCAGGGACATTCATAATCATTCAGATTCAGTAGAAGGTGAGAACTGAGAAGGGCAACAGAGGTATTATTTCATAATTTTCTTGTTTTATTTTATTCAAGACTTCCAGTCAATCATAAATCATTCATCATTCAGTTATAAATTATTCAGACTTCATATGTTTAATTGTTTGTTTTATTTTTGAGATATTGAATGCTGAACCACAATATCACAGGATCATATTAGATAATTAGCTTACTTAGCAGAATTACTCATCCGAAATTGAATTACAATTAGATTGTAAATTTTCCATTGAAATTGAATCAGAATGTGAATGTCATCATATTATAGTTAGTGAATGATGAAATCAGACATTATAAAAAAAATCAGTTTATGTAATTTAATTCGTTACACGTTAATGTCTAAGGGTCTTTTTTTCCATCTCGTCCCGGGTATTTAAATCCTCAGGACCGGCCCTGTTGCTTAGCACTTGATTATTATTTTGATTTCATGAATAAAAGTCAAGTACTCACTTAAATAAAATGAGAAATAGTCGGTTAATTTACCTATATAAAACCAGTTCTATTACATTGTTATTTATAGATTTAAGTGCAAACTGCAAAAATGATCTTAGTTGGCAATATTCTTTGGTTTGGGTCATACAAGGTAAAAGAAAACACATAACATGTCAACACAATATTATAGTTTTCAAATAAATACAGAAACAACTAGAAATTAATCCTTTGAAACAACTCGAGACTTGAAACGTAACCAATCTTAATCTACAACAACAGGAATCAAACGCACAGCCATCAGCTCCTCAACTTTGCAAGGGTCGTAATTCGGAAACCTAACTATTTACAAAATGGGTCGTTTTTTTATAAAAAAAAAAACACTTCATTCTACAAAACAGACTCTCTAAATCTGCACGTGCTGGATTGTGCTGCAAAGACCATTTGTAACAGTTGATGGATTGCGTACTTTTGAGAAGATGGAAATCCAACCTACCACACACCACACAGACGTCTTCCATTTTTGTGCCTGTGATTGTGAAAAATTAAGATACTGCATAAAATCTTCATCATCGGTTTCATCTCTCGGTTTTTTAGGGGAGTTTGAGATAGCGTGTTCAGATGCAGGCCGTTTGCGGTATTGACTTGATTGACCATCCATTGGCGTTACTCCAACAATAAAATTACTTTTCCGGTGGCTCTCGATGGTTGTAATAAGTCTTGTGGGATTGTTTTTCTGAGGAATCACCAAGTTAAGGTCGCCATAAGGGAATGAGTTCAGGGTGGTAATGGTGGGCGACTGAAGATGGTTAATGAGAGAAGCCTCATCTTGGAAAAAAGACGACTTCCCTCCACTGTTCAGATGCTGATACTACCAGCTTTTCACCATCAGCCTGACAGGAAAGAAAATCAATTAAAACCAGTTCAACTATTTTATCAACTAAAGAAATTATAAACATACCTTTTTTTCGTTGGAAAGCTTATCCAAAGAAAGGAAGAGAGAGCCGGAAACTAATCCAAACAAATGTCCATAAACATTAAAAACCACACCATGTTTGTTTTGATCATCTCTTGAATTAAGGTACAAGTATATCCCATTAATTATCATCCTTACACTTGTGTGCATGGTCCATTATGATCTTCCAGTCGTTAGGACGAACCTTAAGTATCTGCAGATACGACAATATTAATGACATGATTGTTACTATGATTGAGCAATTAAGTGGACACTAGCAAGCACCCGGATAGAAACTGAAACAAAAAACAAGCAAAAAAGTTACATCTTTGAGCTTCTCTGGATTAATTGCATTGAGAGTACGGAGGTCCATCACAGTTTTTATGTTTTCTTTTTTCAAACGTTTAAAGGAATCACCACGACGGTTGATCTTGTATAATCGATATACATGGTCGGACAATAATGGAATTGCTTGCTTGTTGTACTCTGAAAAGTGAAAACAGAATCCATGAAAATATAATCCAATCCATATATCCTCCTTAATAAATAAAAATCCTATTGCCACTTGTCAACTTCTCATGCAATTGGACATATGTCATTTTCTTAAATTTTTGATTTACCTATTATTCCATTTGTCAATTTATTAAGAGGCCAGATACACACCCTTCAAACACACGTATACGTAATGTTAATTGTTTCCTAAATTTTTGTCCATAAACAAAGCAAAGATACGTTTTCATTCTATAACACCAACCGATTAGCCTCCAATCACGGTGGATTTCATTTATGCATTTCAAAATCACATATCTTCCATTTATTCAAGTATTCTCTGTGTATGTTATATGGACTTATATGGAATTTTATATGGATATATATTTAGTATGGCATCAATCATTCAAAATCGTTCATCTTTTACTGATCATAGGTAATAATTTCCTAAAATTTCTTTCAATTTCATCTATATATAATACTTTTCATCTATCGTTTTCTTTCAATTTCATTCATATATGCCCGAGTCTTCTTCTTGACGCTGAAAATTAAGTCTGTTCAACAATCAGAATTAGCATTCCAACAGCCACAAAAGGTCAGTAATGTCATTTTTTGTTATGTATAGATTGTCTTTTTTTTTCAACACATACTGTAATATGGCCTTTTTTAATATGTCCGCCAAGTGTTCGATGTAATGCCTTCAACATTTTCTTCATTGGAAATATTGAAGATGCCCCCACATATCTGAATCCTGGTGTGAGACCCATATGGGAAAGGGCATTTTGGTCCTTTTTTTAGAATGTACTTATTAACTATCATATGACACTTCCAGCTAAAGGGAATCAAGAAATAATAATTCACTGTGCATCAGTTTGGCAAATATTATGATCAAACAAGTAGCTTCAGTCCGGTTCTTATTTGCATGTAGGTCTATTAATATTTTATATAATGACCTGAGAAGATTCTGAATTAGTACAATCATGCCCCTGTGCTTAATGTGTAAATCAGAAATACTGACAAATCGTATCTTGTTTAGCATATGGTAAGGGGCATTTTGGTCCTTTTTTTTTACAATATTCTTATTAACTATCATATGACACTTCCGGCTAAAAGGGAATAAAGGAAAAATAATTCACTGTCCTTTTTCCCTATTTCTCCACTTGAGAAATATTACAATAAATTGTTTGTCCATGTGTATCTTTCCATTTTTTTATAGAATATTTTACCTATTTCTCCAATTGACAATATATATTACCTTGCAGCTCAAAGAACCATAACTTAATAACGTAATAAATGTTTTAAAATCTATGGATTCATCACTTCTGTTAATTTAGATTGCTAATGATATATTTTAGGAATCGCAGATGTTTTGAAATTCTTAGGAACTTCTGAACAATCACGATTTTCCACTTCCATAGCTTTTTCTAGATCCTTCCCCAATGATTAAAAGAACAGCTGGTAAAAGAAGTATGAACAGGGCAACAATTTTTTGAATAGATTGCTTCTGTCTGCAATCAATTATTATAATTTCTCTGTTATTTACAAACATTGAAAGCATGTATCATAGGATGATCTAGCATATAATACCTTAATATCATATATGTGAAGAATTCTGTGAAAATTAATTTTGTCTGCTTTAACATTGAAAAAACGATATAATCAAGGTTTCTGTAGGAAATCTGTAACAGACTGTTTTGTAGTGCATAGATAGCTGTAGGATACGAAAGCCAATCCCATGATGGACCACCAATCTGAATTATGTCCTTGATCAAGCATATCTTCTTTCTTTCGAGCCGGTACAATTCTGTATATGAAATATCTAAATATAAGTTCCAATTCTCCAAAATGCCATATGTCAAATTTAAGAAAATGCCATATGTTTCTTTTTTTTTCTGAACATAAAATAATTTTCTTTTTATGTAATTGTAATTCTGAACAGGGGAAATATGTGAAGGGGCATTTTGGTCCTTTTTTTAATATACTTATTACTTTATTTTTTTCATGCAACTGTTCAAAATCTTAGTTTTTATATTTCTTTTACAGCTCATGGATCCAACCGAAATCACAATGATTAATGATCTAGGTCTCTCAAATGACAACTACACAATTAAGGTCCGAATAATCAGGCTTTGGAAACAAACAATTTGGGCGAAACCACATGAGACACGACAAATCGGAATGATTTTGATGGATGAAGAGGTATTTAAAAAGAATTGCTTTTAAACTGTTTAATGATTTCATAATATCATATAATTAGTTATACACTATCCATGTTAATATTATAGTTGTTTATTATTTATTTATTTATTAAGGAGGATTGTTTTTGAAGGGCAATAAAATTGAATGCACTGTGGACAAATCATATGTGATATTGGGGCAAGCACTTGAAGAATATGCGGATGTTTACATTCATAAGCCAACACTTGGTTTATATGTTGATGGTGTTATGAAGTTCGTTGACACTCAAAACAAATTGTTTTTCCAATATAACACTAGAGTAACCAAGTGCATTGGTTTTAATGGGCCCAAGAATTATTTTTCTTTTGCAAACTTCCAAGATCTTATTGATAAGGTTATCCCTTCAACTATTTCTTTTGGTAAGTTCATAACGTTGATTTCACGTTTTACATATTGTATTATTTGTATATAAATTGTCCATCCTAACACTATTTATATACTAACATCTCCCATCGTGTATATTATAGATGTCATTGGTAATGTTTTTCAATGCTATCCACCGGAACCTGCAACCCAAAAATTGGATAAAAGGATTACATTGAAATTGGAAGATTTAGAGTATGTTTCTTTCATGACTTGTGTATTATTAGTTTTAAAATTGTTGTTTTAATTCATATACATTTAGGGGACGACAAGTGTTTGCTACTTTGTGGGGAGATTACGCTGAACAAATTGATTCCTATGTATCCAAACACCGGGGGAATTTTGTAATGATTATTCAATGTGCTAAGTTGAAGAATCACCGAGGTCTTTTTATTAATATAATGTTTTATATTTACCATTTTCAATATTTATATAAGAAATAATTTAATCCAACATTTTGTTTCATTTTCTTTTCAGGTCGTGCATATGTGAATAACACATATTTAGCAACAAAGCTATTCATTGATGAGCAAGTTGAAGAAATTATTGATTTCAAAAAAAAGTTTGATTATATTACAATCAAGTCCTTTATATATTATTATTAAACTAAATATATTTTTTATTGATAATATACTTGCACTTTATTTGTAAATAGTTTGAATGAAAAAGAAAGTGGATCGGCTTCTTCACGTTCTCGTGCTACGGATTCCTTCATGTATACTGCACATGATGACTTTCTTAAAAATAATCCGTTCTACCAAATTTCCATGATCCATGAATTAGATGAGGTATATTTACATTATTAAATCTTTAATTATTAATACTTGATTTTCCTAACTCATCATCATTTCTTATTACTATAGGGGAGTTATGCCATCATTCTTGGCACAATTAAGATGTTTGAAGATAGTCAGCAATGGTACTACCCAGCTTGCAAGAACTGTAAGAGAAAGGTTCAAAAAATGCCCCTTGAACAATCCAATGTTTTGGACCATGTGGCTGAGAATGAATCATGGGTATGTACACATGAGAAGTGCAAAGGACAAATCATAGTTGTTGAACCAAGGTATCATAAGAAATTTAATATTCTTTCATTATTATATTTAACTAATTTGTATTAATTTATTTCTTTGTTAAATACCTTAGTTTTATGCTCAAAATTCGAGTACAAGGCTTGGTAGGAGTAGTGACACTTACTCTGTTTGACCGGGATGTTAGAAGTATTCTAAACATTTCTGCATCAGATTTGATAGAAAAGTATGAAAATGTATATTTTATAAAATCCATAATTTATTGTAATCATTTCTACATTTTCATTCTAACTTTTGTTTAATTTACATTTTTTTTGTAGATGGGTAATATTGTTGGTTTTCCTGTTGAGATTAATGAACTTATTGGTAGAAAAATGGCTTTCAAAATTATAGTCAAGCGCTATACGTGTGGAAGAAAATACATTTGTAATTACAACATATCAAAGATAAGTGATAACTTTGACATAATTTCTGCTCTCGAGAAGCTTGAAAAAGCAAACGACATTGAACAGGTTTAATTACAACTAAATCTTAATCCATTTACATATTACATTTTATATAGTTGATATTTGCCAATCTAAAATACAATTTACAATCTGTTAAATCGGACATTGAAACTGAGTCTGTTAATGTCGTGGTATCAGATTTCAACTCTCAAGATACAATTGGTTTAAAGGTATAATTTCCTGCTTTTTTCTTTCTTTCGTTGTTTTACATTACTCCTATGTCAATCTTTAACATATAATAATTCTTGCATTTAAGGGTTCTTCTTCCTTCGTTGCTGATAATACTCCTATCTCTACTTTTCCAAATATCATTTCAATGAGTCCATCAACCAACCACGACACCACTAGCCTCCTTTCACCACCGACCAATGCGAAACGTAAACTTGTAGATGTTTACGCTCTTGAAGATACTGTTTGTGAGTCATCAACAAAACCTTCAAAAAAATCCATTGGTGTCAAGGAAAGTGTTGTGTCCACGCAACTATTGATTCCTAAAGTCGAGAAGTGAGATCTTATTAACGTTTCAAACAATTTTCCGCTTCTCATTTTTTTATTTAACATTCCAGTCCAACAATACTTTTTGAGGTTTTATGGTTGGTTAAGAATACTTTCGTTGTTGGTTTCAGAAATTCTGTTTTCTTTCGTTTTATGTTAAGTACGGATTATGATTTCCTTATTAAATGTTGTCATTTATTTAGTTTTAAATTGTTACTGTGTGTATGATAAATATGGTGCATGTCTATGTATGTATGGTTGTTTTATTATTAATAATCAAACTTATAAATTTAATAACGATAGCATGACATGCAAATGAATATTACTTAATATCCTCTGCTTCAAATTATCAAAATTTAGATCAATCTAACAAAGACTCCCAACTATTGACATTTCTATGTCATCAGGGGATGATGAGTGTTTCTTAACCTAAAATTTACATGGAAAACCAGATTTTACAAAAAAATTTCTAAACAACTTTTTTATAACCATAACATACAAGTAGCTTAATTATAAACTTAAAGCATAAAATGGTTTGTAAAAATGTGTTTTCAGTTTCTGAACTTAAAGATGCATTTGTTTGTAAATGTGGGTTTCTATTACGTTTTGGTGCTTCTATTCCCGGTTATGATTTCAAAGAAGTTGTATTCAAAAGAAGTATTTGGAAATTTATGATTTCTAAAACTTATTTAGCATATTTCGTTAATGATTTTTTTTTGTATTTTCGGTTCAATTACATACTTATTCAATAAAGTCTTCACTTATATGTGTTGTATTATTTTAATAATTCGTTGATGTTCAAAATTTTATCTTATTTATTTTAAGAAAATCGTGTAATACACGAGTCTTACACCTAATAACTATATCAAATCAAATATATAAAATAAAACATATGTACTTACTGAAATTGCGCTTCTCTATAAAATAATTAAAACATATGTACTAAATTGCGTTTGTCTTTAACGAGAAAGGATTCTGTTTTTGCTTCTTTTACCCTAGTGCCAAAAACAGCATCCTTTGACCTTGCACCCAGTCTGCAGATTCTTTTTCCCTTCCAGGTTGAATTGTGTGTAAATGAAATCTTATTAACATAAACAATACCTTCTTTTAGTTTCAGGAAAGTGTTTCCTTGAAGCACTTTCTTGCCTTTCCATTCACGGATGATCTTATTGTTAAATTCATAAGAAGTCCAATTCTCTGTTTCGAAATCATTACAATCGCCCTCAAGAACGACTATTTCAATTTCTGTTGCAGCTTCAGCTCCAGTCGTCACAATCTGCCCTGAGCTTTGATCAACCAAAGCTACTACAAAGGGTTTATCGTCTTTTCCTTCAATATTCTTGCTTGTAGAAACGGGTGTAGAGATTCCGTTTAAGAACTGGAATTGGAAAACCGGTGATTCTGAAGTAGTTGCTGTGTTACCAGAATTCCTGATAAAATTACAAGTATGTGTAAGCCGAGGGGATGTAGTAATCACATCTATATATCTACCACTTTTTCTGGATGATAAGTTTATTCATTACCATGTCCGGCCTGTCATCAGATCCAAGCCATATTCTCCTTAACCATGGAAAGAATGTTTTGGTGCTTTGCGTTGATCTGGGGTACATGCAGCAAGAGTAACCCTTATTCATATGGTACCCTATATATGCCGATCTAAAGCATGACAAGGGGCTTGAATGATAATTATATAATTGCAAGATGAACTCAAGAAAGGTATATTTTCAAGAGAGAGAGAGAGAGAGAGAGAGAGAGAGAGAGAGAGAGAGAGAGAGAGAGAGAGAGAGAGAGAGAGAGAGAGAGAGAGAGAGAGAGAGAGAGATTCACATTGATATGAAACGTAGGCCATATATTTTCAAGGTATAGACGAATGACCCCCTCCATTTCCGCCCTACGAAAACAGCGAGGTGAACAGTAAAGAATTGATGAACACATTATGCAGTCTCTCATGAAACTAATTTCAGTTGAGATTAGAAGGTAGCACCGATAATAAAAACATATGAAATTAGCAAGAAATACAAATCCGCATACGTACTCTTTGGAAGCATTAGCCCTAGCGAATTCATCAATTGAACTTCTTGTGCTTCCTCCTGCTTCACGGTCGTTATCATCATCCAACTGCTGATTAATCACCGCCATTTTCAAAGTGTTGAAGGTGTATCTGTGTGTTACGTACTGAAAGGTGCTCTCTCCTTGCAACTGATTTACCTGTGCTCCGGCTTCGACCTTTAAGTTTTAAGCTTTAACGACGGAAAATATGACCCACCACACCGCGTTGTTACTTGATCCCAAACGCTATCACCAATAAAAAAAGAGGGAAAAAAAATTGTTGAGCCTTTTTGGGCTCTTTATAAGCAGTTATATGTGAAGAATCTCAGGTCCTTGACTTCGCCCCCAACAACAGTTTCGCCCCAACACAACACAATATCCCCTCGTTCATATTAGTAATTTTTTTATTTTTATACACATTTAACCATTTAACTTCTTATATGTGTTCACATATTGTCATTATCACTGGCTATAGCAGATCACAATGATAATATGTGAACATATGAACAAGTTAAATGATTAAATGTGTACGAAAAAAGAAATTTATCTAAATATGAACAAAACGAAAATTAATTACCCTGATAAGTCATTTTCTCCACTTTTAATAGTGATTTTATTTTTATATTTGTTTATATTATTTTTGTCAAACATTATTTTTAAAATATCCATAATTTTTTTAAATATTGATCAATTTTAAACTTTACTTTTTAATTAATAAATATGCTTTTGTTTTTGTGAAATATTTTATATAGCCTCTTATAATTTTTTTCTTTTGTTTTTAAGCATATACAATATTTTTTAAAGTAAATAACATCTAACAATAAAATTAAATAAATTAAATATGCAACAATAAGTATGGAGGGTCTTTTTAAAAAATAAAAAGAATATATTACTCACCAAACATAAAAACAAAAAAAAAGTCTATATAATGTAAATGTTTTAAAATTATTCCAATTTTTTAATACATTTTAATTAGAAGTTTATAAACTTTTAATTTTTTTTAATACAACGTTTTAAACTACTATTTAATGAAAGAATTTTAAAATGTTATAGAAAAATATTAAACAGTCATACAAAATATGTGAACTGTTTTAAAAATGTTATAAAAGAAAGTTTATAAATAAATGTATAAAAGTTATAAAAAAAATTGTATAAAAAAAACAAGTTAAATATTTGTAAGAAAAAGTTACATTTATAAAATATTTGTTTTAAAAGCACTTGTATTAAAATTATATGAAAGTATAAAAAAAGTTATTAAAAAAAATTATAAGCATAGTGTAAAACATTGTATTAGAAAAACCTATAAGAAAAAAAATCATAAAAATATTTTAAGAAATTATAAAAATAAGAAATCTGTAAAAAAAATTGTTCACATTTAGACAACTTCTTTTTTTGTACACATTTGACTATTTAACTTGTTAAATGTGTTCACATATTATCATTGTCACCTGCTATAACATGTGACAATGGTAATATGTGAACACATTTAACAAGTTAAATGATCAAATGTCTACAAAAAAATGAAGTTACCTAAACGTGAACAACACAAAAAGGTAATTACCCTCGCAAGTCATTTTCCCTTTTTTATTAGATAACCCTGGGGCCTAGGAGTTGGTGGGGACAGGGTCCTGGTTGGGTTAAATTGGGTGTGGTAAGATAAATTTTTGTTTGCTTTTATATTTGAACACATTATTAAAATATTAAATTGACTTTTCGAATTAAAATGTTCTGAAATATTATAAATAATTCGAACCATTTTAATTTTACGTAATCTTGTACATTTTATCAGTTTGATTTGTTATTATTAACATATAGTTTGGATTTATCTATATTTATTTAATTGAAAAAAGTTTCACGCGTCTGTTCATTACCTTTGGAACCAATCAAAAAGCCTAAAGTTACTCTACATAAAACAAAATATAATAGACCTAAAGTTACTCTACATAAAACAAAATATAATAGTTCACAACTTCACATGGATTTAGAGAAATCGAATTAAATATTGCATATACAACTTTGCGACTTGTTCATTGTCTTATCCAATCAAGAGGGGCTTGGACTAACACTACCAAATAAAATTTTGAGGAAGTTGGGCCCATGGGTGAATATTTGGACCGGATTAGATCAAATTGGATCGGATTGATTTTTGTATCGGATCAGTTTCGGATAATATTATAGACCGTGTATAGGACCGGACAAAGGCTTACGCTGGTCCAGATCCAAGTCCGGGTTTTCCGGTTCTTGGACCGGTTGGACTGGTACAACTTTACATGTGTATGATACAACTCATTAAAAAATGTTTTTAGGTTTGATACAACTCGTAAAACGAATATGTTCTTGGGTTTGATACGTTACAACTCATTAAAATGAATATTTTTTTGGTTTTCATACGGTACAACTCATAAAAATAAATATGTTTTCGTTTCGTGTACCCGTTGTACCGGTCAAACTTTGATTGTTTATATCATTTGTAGGGGCGAACGCATGAATACATACTAGGTGTTGCCGAGGTTGAAATAGATATTGCCGGTGCCACACCGAAACACCAAGTAAAACCGCCACTGATCATTTTGTTTGAATCAAGTTTATCACTAAAAGTTAACAATCTTAACACAAATATATAAAAATAATTACCGTAACACCAAAAAAGCATAGTTTAAACTGTAAAATAATCCAACTAGCAAATCTATTTTATATTTCGCTATATTATTTTTCAAATATGTTCGTAACTTGTTATCTATTGGATCCGAGTTGCTACCTCCCGTACAAAGATATATAAAATTCAGAATTATAGTCTAAAATTAGCTTGAAATATTTCAGCTTTGTAGTCTAAACACATCTACAAACTCTAAGTTACATGCTGGAAAAAACTGAATGTCAATCCGACTTAAAACGAATGCAATATACTTGTTTAAAGATTTTCACAGAATACAAAAGTTTAAAATAATAGCTGAAAAACTAAAATATTACAGCTTTGATATCTCAACTTTGAAGGATTGTAATTCATTGAATATAGCACCAAAAACGACAAAATTATAGTTTAAACTCATCTATAAACTCTAAATTACACGTTGGAAAAAATCGCATGTCAATTCGACTTAAAACGAATGAGATATGTTTGTTTAAATACATTCACAAAATACAAAAGTTTAAAATAATAGTTGAAAAGCTGAAATATTTCAACTTTGCTATCCTAACTTTTAACGATTTTAATTCGTTGAATATAATACCAAAAACAACAGAATTATAGTCTAACTCATATACAAACTCTAAGTTACACGTTGGAAAAAACAACATGTCAATCCGAATTAAAACGAATGGGATATGTTTGTATAACGATTTTCACAGAATACAAAAGTTTAAAATAATAGTTGAAAAACTGAAATATTTCAGCTTTGATATCTTAACTTTGAAAAATTGTAATTCATTGAATATAACACAAAAAACGAAAAAATTAAAGTTTAAACTGATTTATAAATTCTAAATTACACGTTGGAAAAAACTGCACGCCAATTTGACTTAAAACGAATGAGATGTGTTTTTTTAAGATTTGAAAAGATTTGTTTTTTTAAAAAAAAATTAGGTCTAAAACCGATTTTTACCCGGAACCGGCCGGACCGAACTGGTAAAAAAACCGGACCGTATTTGATCAATTCTTAGAACCGAGAACCGATCCGGGGTCCAAAAAAAAGTCCAGGTCCACCGGTCCGGTCCGGTTCATTTGTCAAAATGCTCACCGCCATTTAAGACTAGCCTATTTGGCTAATGTGACATCCCCATTTTTACGGACAGAAAAGACCGATTTGTTTATGCTTATTAAATCAGAGTATTCTTTTAAAAAGATTAATTATGCGGAATTTATCCCAAAAACATGATAATAATATTATCAAAGCATTTTCGAATAAATGTGTTTTATTTATAAAACTTGGGATATCATTGTCAATACAGAAACATAAGCATAAACGGAGACTTACAATGTCTCAATATACTAACTATCTACATCTCCTTGAATTTCTCATACATCATTATCCGAGTATCGTTATTTAATAATCTGTGATTCAAATCAACTGAGTGAGTCAGGTTGGGAAACCTGGTGAGTACATAGGGTTTTCAACCCACAATAATATAATTTAAGTTATATATATTTATCATTAATCAAATAACCCAAATTACCCATTCCCTTTATTCACACTTCCTGATCCTAACTAATAATCTCAAAGAATCTATCCTAGAGGATCTCTAAGTGAATAATACTACTTCATGGATTCCTTAGCAATATGTACTAATAGGGAAATCATAGGGTGAATTGAGTATCTACTTAAATAATTCATTCATACCTACAATTTTTAATCTTGTCTGTATGAGGTTCCTTAACATCTACAGGTTGAGGACCTGTCCATGTACAATTCAACAATAAATATAATTCATAGACCTATCTGCGCATGAATCATTAATGCCTACAAGTCTGCCCGTAAAACGATTTATTAACAC